CCCCCCCCCCCCCCCCCGGTAGCTGTACTGGGGCAAAGGAAGTGGGTTGAGAAGGCGGGAAGTGATATCGATAGACTATACATAGACTAGGGAACATATGTTTGAGCCACCTTTGGCAAAGTAGGAAGGAACGATTGACCATCGGTGATCCGTGATGTGGGAACAATGCTCCGTCCTCTCGAGGACGCGTGGTCAATGGTCTAACGGCCAAGGCATGCAAAAAATAGGAGTACACGGACCCTCCCGTTTCCCCTACGCTGGAGGTGCATCCGCAACCCACAGAGCTTCGACCCCTCCCCCTGTTTCCCTTCCCGCTCCTATTGGCACCTACTGTGCCCCGGTACAGGTGGGCGAAGGTGGGATGCGGCCGGTGGAAAACCTCCCCGGCCGGCAGGCATCGCGGGCTCTTATCAACCTTCTGCTGCCGAAGTACCAGGTCTTGCAGCAGGGGACTCTGCGTGGGGGTGGATTTGCGGCCGATTACGGCTGCTCGAACGACAGGAGGCACTCGTTACCGGTAACAGTCCCGCAAAATGCGGCCTCCATGGGACAATCTTCCGGCCCGAAAAATGCGACCGCCGCGGGACAGTGTTCCGGCACGGCTGCGGGGTTTTCCACAAAGTGTGGAAGCTGTTGCCGACGGACCAGTGCGCCGGCGGCAGCGGCGGCGGTAGTGGCATGGCAAGAAGAAACCAAGGATGGAATGGTAGCAGTGTCGGGTCGCAGCATCGCTACCTCAATAAGAGGAGAAGAGGCCGCGTCAGATGTCAAGCATGCACGAGCACCCGACGAGCGTCCGGTGGATGTGGATGCCGAGAGCGGAGGACGCGTGCAGTTGCCCATTATCGGGGGTCTTGAGGATCACGATGCCGTACCCATACTGAATAAAACGGTTTCCACGCAAGGTCCAGAAGCGATGAGGACAGCAGGCACGCCGCTCAGGCAACAGGCGACAGCCTCTCCGACCACCGCCGCAGCGGCAGCACCAAGACCAGATGAGAAAGAAAAAGCTGGAAGACTAGCCTCCTCGACACCGAAAGCCCCACAAGAAACCCCAACAACGCCCCTTTCGATACTGCCAGCAGCAGCACTCAAACTCGGGGCGGCGAGTGCCAGCAGGTTTCCAGAAACACAGAGGCGTTGCGAAAACACCGAGGCCGTCCAAACCAAGACTGTTGACGACGGTTTCCGCGATGCTCGAGGGTCCATGGGGCCGGAACCACCTCCAGCTCCCGGGAGCCCCAGCAACACGTGTTTGGCGCCACCCCGTCGAGAGCAGCGGCCGGAGGAAGAAGTCTGGGAGGCTTTTTATTTTTACCAACGAGGAGGAATAAAGGTGGGACGACGGAGTTTTGTTATCTCGACAATAGATATAACCTCTCTCCATCTACCAAATGATCAGATCGTCGCATTCCGCCGTTGTGTTAATAGTTCGTCTGGTCCGAAGAATTCGTCGAGCGGCAGAGACAAGGTCACCCCTGCAGTCGATGTGATACTGCGTGTGCAGGAGCTTGGTTTCGCGGGTGTCTGCCTGATGATAGATGGAAACAAACACAACCCCCATCGTCTCTATCGAAAGCTTCTGGTTGTATTGTAAAGGCGGACAAAACAACATGCTGTTGATACGCTCAACGATTTAGCGTTGTTTACCCCCTTCCGCAGGACAACTTCAATGTAAGGCTACGGACTTCCATGGCCTCTGCGGGAGGGTTTTCCGGCCGGGGTGTCGACAAACTCGGACACTTTGTCATGGAAGGCAGCCCACTCCTCGATCGTGGGGCAGGCGAGACCTGGTGGGTGTGGTTCTGTATCGTCCCGTGGCTTGTCCTCAATATTGTGGGCACCTGGTTGCCAAACGATAAATTAAAAAATTTAGCCCAGCGTCCACATTAGATCGGGGACAAACAAACAACACAAACAAAGGACTGTTTTCAGAGAACCAGTAGCGTGAAAAACAAGGCGTCGTCAACAAGAGAACAACGCCGCCAAGAGCCGTCCAGTTTAACGAGCATCCGTACCGCACGTGCAAATACCACACTCCCGTTTTCGAAACCGGCTTCTTTCGAGAAGGGTGGTGCTCTCGTGTTGCCTCAAAGTGTCTTTAGCAGGGCTCTAGGAGGCTGGGCAGCTACCGGAAGCTATTTTCTGTGATGGGATCAGCGCTTTCGTAGCCCGTTGTTTGGGTGTCGGCGCGTGTACTATGTTATCACGCTCGCGGGCTCTTGTCGAGAGCGTCTTGCACAAAGGAGTGACTCAAGTTCCTTGGCCATTAGAGGGTGACAGACGTGAGCAAGAAGAGGCAAAGCCTGCCGCACCAAGCCTGCCTATCATACCCATCTTTATATCACCTGTGTACCCCCCTCGGAGATTTCAGAGACTTGTATCCTGCCGACTACACTCACAAACAGCCCTCCTACTCGGTACTAGATACGATCTACGAGATTCTCCGTACATATCGCCAGTTGAAACCCAACAAATCTTACAAACCATTCACCTTTCATATGCACAAATCATCTCAACTCCCGGATCTTTCGAATATATATATTTTCAGGTTACTTCTTCTCCTTATGACTATGCAACGTCACTAACAAGCACCCCTCTCGAGAAAATGTCGTCACCACATTCTGAAGCAGTCGAGAACAAAGAATGGTACTTGGGAAAATACTCAGCAAAGATCAACATTACATCAGAGCCATGTCATGAAGACTCTGGACTGACAACTCTAGAAAAACGGGTCAACAAATACTTCGAACAAAATCCTCGCACGAAGTGTGTTTCAACTCATTGACCAACTATAAATAAGCTTCGGAAGCACACAGGCCTCAACCAGGTCTTACCGAAATACGCCAAATCCTTCCTATAATACATCGTTCAGACAACCATCAATACACCAAATACGGCAGAAATAGACAAAGGTTAAAAACTCGGCGTTCGAAGACGCCAGAGGAAACTTTCACCAATAATGCCGTGCCTCAAACATCGCGACACGGATTTCTTAACAGCCCTCCTGCAGCAGTATCTCCCAAACATAAAAGCTTAACAGCCCCCCTGCTGCATCATCTCCCAAAACATGAAGGCCTAACAGCCCCCCTGCAGCATCATCTCCCAACACACAAAAGCTTAGCAGCCCCTCTTCAACGTACCTCCGGCCATGGAACTCAATCCGTCCTACACCAGAAACAACAAGAAGCAACTCTCGAATCCTAACAGCTTGAAATTAAACAAGCATCACGAAGTTACCTACCTCCGAACTCCGCAGGTAAAACGCGGAATCGCGAACAAACAACAATAATTAATTGTGGATTTCTCCTCATTTTCCGAAGGTATAACGCGGAAAACGTTAACAAAATGAGCAACCAAGCCCGAACGTCCGTAAAACTCTGCTTGTACTGCGGCGAAGATCATGGCATGTCAGCATCACATCGCTAGAACTCTGCTTGAACTGCGGCGAAGATCATGGCATGCCAGCACCGCAGTCATCCCCCCCCATGATTTCCGACAGCCGTGCTAGCAGTGATCCAACAGTCCAACTGCACCATTCGGCGTGCTGAATTTTTTCTATCCAAACAACATTCTCAACAAATGGAAAGCACCATGTAGACTATATCACAGACCAGAAACACCACGTTCACGCGCATCGCAACACACTAGTGTTCGTCGACGCAGTTCTCAAATTCTCGAGGTTTTCAACAAACAAAACAAGACCGAACCTAGAAACTATGTAGCCAAACAAAACATAGTACTTCTCACAAACGTGCCTGAATCGCCCTTAGGCCCATCGTGCGACCAACGGTCATCCCGCAAGGCAGCTCCCGAACACGTAGGTAGCCTCTCAAGTCATGCCGCACACTTCCAGCCACGATCGAATGCCCAGCCCTGGTAGTACCCCCCAATGTCCCGCACCACGCAGATACCATTGTACACGGTCGGTTGGGCGCCGGGATGCCCCGCACCACGGAGACTTGTATCCTGCCGAGTACACACACAAACACCCGTTAGTAGTGCCGCATTCTAGCCGAGGTGGAACACGTCGCAGTGTGGGAGTCGACGGTTCGAAATTGCACTCGACTCCTTCCTGCTTGCAAGGAATCGCTCTGTTGGCCGCTCAACGGACTGCCTCGGAGACCAACAAACTTCGGCAGCATGGCTGCTTGACACTTGCTTCGCCTCCGCCTTCTCGTTTCAGGTTCATATCCAAGACCTACACCGGAAGAGGTCTGCCCCAAGCCACTACCGACCGTGGCAGTGCCAGCGCTCACGTTACACACATAGCATACCTAACCGACGATCTATCCGACGGCAATCACGGGATCGGCAACAAGGGTAGCACGTCCTGGTTTGCCGAGGCTGTGCCAGCGGCCACTGGTGTTCCAACGGCCGACGATGCTCCTCCCGAGATTGACTCCAGTCATTTTGTGACAAGAGCTTCTCCGCTAGCGGAAGTACCTTTGGCCGTGACGCCCAGACATGGAAACCCGCCAGCTGCTAAGGCGGCAAACGCACGCCGACACTCCGGGTTCTGGGGGGTATGGGAACCGGTGCTCGGTCTAGCCGGCGATGGCGGCAGGCATTCGACGGACCACGGACTGCCGAGTAGATGGCGAACTACGTTGAGTAGGAGGGGCGGTGTGTTCCGACTGGTGCCTTGTCGTCGAACGCCATGAGACCGGCCCTGACGGCGCAACAGCTAGAGAAAGCGTGGACCCGACTCGGTTCAGTACAACATGCCCTTCGCTGTTTCAACACAAAAAGTGTAGAAACTCGATGTCACGTCTGCATGATTGTCTGCGATAGAAAACCAATGATGGCGAAATGATGTAAAAAACATGACCACACAAACCCGTTCGGCTCGAATCCCGAGATAGTGGGCATGAAACGATTTCCCCGAAGGATGGAATTACCGCGGGGTTACAACCCTGACAGGGCGATCCTCACACACACGGTTCTTCTGTAATTGGGCATCTGTCTCATCCAGAAAGAGGCAAATCCTCCTCCCCAGTGTCTGCCCACGGGGTCCATACACTTCAAAGCATTTTATATCTTCAGCAGCACTGCAGCGAGGCTAACATCTTTCCCTTTGGTCAGCCAGCTAGCCCGGTCGGTGGTAAGGGTATATGCACACACGATGATTGACCCCACCCGGTGGTCCTTCGGAATAGTGCTACTTCAATACCCCTCAACGACGCCAAATATCCATATCCAAAGAATATTCAAAATATGCACAAAGCGCTCATACAACGTTTGTTCATGAAACGCTCGTACAATGCTCATTCACTAGTTGCTCCATTACAATGGCTCATTATGTCAGTCGGTGTACAGGACGCAACAATCCAGATCGCCCCCTCACGCAACGTCCTTCACACCCAGACTCCCAAGAAACCCATATCATTCCGGTTCTTCCAGCGTTTGTTGCTTGCTGCCTCTAAATATTTTCCCATTTGAGCACGAGTGACGTTTGCGAGTGAGTGTGTTTTCATTCCTAGATGGCCCCCGCACTTAAGAACCTCTAGTTGTGGCCGAGGCTAGGGTTCTGATTTTGCTGATTATCCTCTTGTGGGCTACAAATGGCCGCGATATAGGTTTTAGTGTGGTGTTCTTAACCGAGCTCACAAATGGTGCTCAAGTTCTTAGCTTCTGATATTGTTCGAGTCTTAATTTCTTAACTGCCAAGTTCTTAAGTGCGGGCGCTATCTGTATTGGCATCGACCCCGCTAACCGCCTGACCATTGAAAGGACGTCACTCTCAGTGCGGTTGAAACGCAAAATACATCAAAATGTCATTAACTGGGACCCCGTGAGGGGCCCGTGAGGGGGCGGCATGGGGGAGGCTAAGCTATTCTCCGGGTCAAAGACAGAAACGGTAACAACAGAAGAAACCTGTACGCGTCGACGAAGGCTGCTACCTTGCACTCAATGTAGATCGTTTTGGAGTGCTTTCACTGTCATCCTCCTTCCTCACAACTCCATCGAGTGAGTGTGTATGCATGCTCGTTTCCCGTTTCGCTTTTCTCCTCTTTTTCCTACCAAACTCCCGCGTGCTCCTGGTGCTTCCATGGTCTATGGCCTTCCGGTATCTTTTTGCCCCACCAGTAGCCATCGGCGCACATTGTGAGCAAGGTGTATTTTAGGTTCCATACGATGGTTGTCAGTATGTAGACTAGGTCGTATAGGTTTACATGAACATTTTTCCAAGCCCTCCCGCCTCGATTGGTTATCATCCTTGCACGCAAAGCGTTCGCTCCTACATGGCTCATTGAGACTTTGCGGCAGTCGTTTATACACTTACACCCCACGAGAACACTGCTCGTTGTCAAAACGTCATTCATGCTTCATGTTTCGTTAAGAGTCTTGGCGCAGTCAATGACGCGTGGACATTGCCAGTCACTGCGTCGCTGACGCGTCAGCCATGTGTCGTCGTTGTTTGGTTATCCTTTTGCTTGAATCTGGCGGTGATTAGACTACAGTACCCAGTGCTTGATTGACGAAATAAAAAATTGTCCGTGGTGTTTTTTTTTGTTGTTGGTTTTTCTCCCATGATTGGACTCTGTGGTCTGCCCCTCTGGCCTCCAACCTCCACTAGTACCAGCTAGACAACCCAATTGGGGTCTCATAGGAGGGGGGGGGGCGTACTCTTTTGTTTTGCATGCCTTAGCGGTTAGACCATTGACCACGCGTCCTCGAGAGGACGGAGCATTGTTCCCACAGAACCGATCACTGATGGCCAATCGTTCCTTTCTACTTTGCCAAAGGTGGCTCAAAAATGCCTTCGCTAGCCTGCCTATCCTAACGATATCCCTTCCCGTCTTTTCAACCCATCTCCTATGCCCCAGTACAGCTACCGTCCTTTCCTCTCTATTCCATGCCTCAAACATCTCCCTGTACGTCCCATGTCTTTTTCCCAGCTCAGTCGCGTACACTTCCCTCTCCTTCTTGTACAACGGACATTCCGCGACTACATGAACACGGTCTTCGCATTCGAAGCCGCAATCACATTTGAACTCGTCGTCTTCCTCGTCTACCGTCCTATGTCTTCGTCGGCGTTCTCGAAGGCCTATATCCCCGGTCCTGAATTTGACCTTAAGCTTTTCCTGCATCCATTGGTCCATGTAGGTAGTCCTTGAACAACNGTCCTTTCCTCTCTATTCCATGCCTCAAACATCTCCCTGTACGTCCCATGTCTTTTTCCCAGCTCAGTCGCGTACACTTCCCTCTCCTTCTTGTACAACGGACATTCCGCGACTACATGAACACGGTCTTCGCATTCGAAGCCGCAATCACATTTGAACTCGTCGTCTTCCTCGTCTACCGTCCTATGTCTTCGTCGGCGTTCTCGAAGGCCTATATCCCCGGTCCTGAATTTGACCTTAAGCTTTTCCTGCATCCATTGGTCCATGTAGGTAGTCCTTGAACAATATTCCTTCCTTCAACATTCTGTACACTTCTAGACCCTCCTTATCCTTGGATTCTTTCCTTAGATCCTGTTATTCTCTCTCGGCACAAGCAACTGATATCTTCTCCTTGAACCCCTGTAAACCCTCCGTCTCCAGCGACTCATCTCCGTCGATATCGAGTCCCTTCCATACGTCCTCTACAACCTTGACCCATTCCGTGGGTTGTCTAACCCTCTTTTTGTTTGCCCACTTCGCCTTCCATACAATTCTCGGCAACCTCTCCTCTCCCATCCCGCGCATGGGATACTGCCATGTTAGCTTCCTCGCGTCTCTTCCCGACCGTAGGGATTGGATCCCCAATTCTGCCCTCACGGCTGCATTACTTGTGCGCCTGGAGCATCCTAGGATGGTTTTCGCTGCTTTCATCTGCGCCGCCTCGAGTTCTTTCACTACCTTCTTATTTCCTTCCCATACTTCTCCGGCGTACTCTAGCGGCGGTACGATTACGCTCTTCAAAACCGTCAATTTGATGCGTGTATCGAGGTGCCGGTTTGCGAGTATTGGGTGCAGCTTCCCTGCTCGTGCTTTGCCCCTTTCCGCTACCTTGGACATGTGCGCATTCCACAAGCAGTCTTTTGCGATCTCT